TTAAAGTAATTTTATTCGAAATTCTTTATTAACTTCTTTATTAATTGGTTACCTTTTCGAGGAATTAATGTTTAACTCTGGATAAAGATGCAATCAGATCTGTATTTTTTCTACGAGATTTCTTTCCTCTCAGTGATGGGGAAAATTTAATTATTGGAGAATTTACTCGAATAAAGGTACATAATTTATCGTAATTTATAATATTCGAAGCGTAATAATAATTGAAAATAATTATTGTAATGGCAAAAAATTATGCGAGAGAAATTATACGAGAAGTGAATCAAGTATAACAATTACTTAAAGTAATTTTATTCGAAATTCTTTATTAACTTCTTTATTAATTGGTTACCTTTTCGAGGAATTAATGTTTAACTCTGGATAAAGATCCAATCAGATCTGTATTTTTTCTACGAGATTTCTTTCCTCTCAGTGATGGGAAAAATTTAATAATTTACTCGAATAAAGATACTTGGATAATTTATCGTTCGAAGCGTAATAATAATTGGAAATAATTGTTGTAATGGCAAATGAGATTACTGTTTTTGAGAATTAATGTTTAATTTTGGATAAAAATCCAATCAGATCTGTATTTTTTCTACGAGATTTCTTTCCTCTCAGTAATGGGGAAAATTTAATTATTGGAGAATTTATTCGAATAAAGGTACATAATTTATCGTTCGAAGCGTAATAATAATTGAAAATAATTATTGTAATGGCAAAAAATTATACGAGAGAAATTATACGGGAAGTGAATCAAATATAACAATTACTTAAAGTAATTTTATTCGAAATTCTTTATTAACTTTTTTATTAATTGGTTACCTTTTTGAGGAATTAATGTTTAACTCTGGATAAAGATGCAATCAGATCTGTATTTTTTCTACGAGATTTCTTTCCTCTCAGTGATGGGGAAAATTTAATAATGGAATTTATGAATAAAGTTATTTGGGTAATTCATCGTTTAAAATGTAATTGCAAAAGTAATTGGAAATAATTGTAATGTCAAATGGATCAACTATATTTATTCGAAATTTTTAATTAGTTAATGGATACAGATTTTTAATTAGTTTTGGATACAGATTTTGGATTAGTATATGTAACAAATACTATGGTAGTAGAGACAAAAATGCGTATTAAAATAGGCGTTTCTCTCCAAATTAATCAATCAGAGCCGCATTCTTTTCGCTAGACTTCTTTCCAGTGATGGGGAAAATTTAATAATGGAATTTATGAATAAAGTTATTTGGGTAATTTATCGTTCAAAATGTAATTGCAAAAGTAATTGGAAATAATTGTAATGGATCAACTATATTTATTCGAAATTTTTAACTAGTTAATGCCCAACTTTGGATACAGATCGTCGAGTTTGGATTAATATATGTGACAAATATCATGGTAGAGTCAAAAATATTAAAATAGACGTTTCAAACCAATTAGATCCACAGATTCTTCCGTAAGATTTCTTTGATTTGAGGAGAAAATTTAATAATCGAAGTTACGAATAATTAAAGTTACTTCGATAATTTATCGTTCAAAATATAATAATAATAATAATTGGAAATTTAACCATTTTAATAATTAAAAGTAACTTTATTCCCAATTTTTAACTAATCAATAATCCAACTGTGGATAAAGATCGTCGATTTTGGATTAATACACATGACGAAAATAACAATATTGAAAATAATTATTCTAATGTTACACGAGAAACGGATCAATCGTAACAATTACTTAAAATAACTTTACTCGAAATTTTTAACAAATTAACTTTCTCAACAATTAACAATAATCCCCGTTTTATACGCCAAAGAACTCCATTCATGTTCCACGAATTCCACCTCACACGTTCTCGTTTTATTCCATACAATAATGCAATAATCGAAATCTTGCTCCTCCCCCAACACCTCACCTAATGGAACTAAACGGCTAATTCGTCTCCTCGACAATTGGAGTAAAGCTTGACGATTAACGAGACGTGATTTCACGTTCACGCTTTTTAGAGAAACTCGCGTTAATGACGGTCTCTCGCGAGTTAAAGAACGGCGATACGCTAAAGATCCCGTTTAGTCGAGCAACGCCATGAATCGTCGAACGTCGAGCAAAGCGCGACTCCTTCTCGCCTTGCTTCTGAACGCCACCTTCTCGACTCTCGGCCTCGAAACACCAAACGTAACTCGAAACGAGGGACGTGCGATTCCTGTCCACGAGTCGCTCGAGAAATCCTCCTCCTCCTCCTCCTCTTCGGTGGAAGTGGAGGAGGATCGACTCCCTTCGGAAAATTCCATCACAACGACGATGGAAACCTATCAAAAATTGTCCATCAACGAGAAGAACGTCACCGCCAAGGAAGAATTTCGACCGAGCTTTCATCTGGGCGAGATCAAAGAGTCGAGAATCGACAACCCCTTCAACGCCCCACGCCACTTCAACCTGGACGATGGAGGGGCGACGAGGGACGAATCGTACGACGAGCGATCGAAGCGCCTCCAAGTGGTGTTTGGTCGAAACACCGGCGATGAAAATTTAAACCACGAGACCGTTGGATCGTTGGGGGAGGAGGGGAGGAGCGACGGAGCGCGAAAGGATCGCGTCACGTTCCGTGACGCAGCGTACGAGCTTCCTGGACACGACGCCCCGTTCAAGGAGCAGCACACGTTCCATCAACGGTTGCCCAGCAGGGAGAAAGACGGGGCCACGCAATCGTTCGAGCCGCAGGATCAACAGATTTTCGAGCAGGGGGTGGCGAGTTACGTTTGGGGGAAACCATCCAAGTTTCAGGGCGACTCGTTGAAACCAGAGATCGAGATCCATTCGAACGACCCGTTCCTCCATTCGCCGGTGTTTCACGATCGTCCGATTCAGCAATCGTACGATTTTCAGAAGCCGAACGACGGATTGGTTTACGTCCAAGAATCCTCGTTCACCAGGACCAGAAAGTTTCCTTATAGTTCGATTTATCAGCCGCACGTCGGATATCAACAACAGATCGAAGTCGTCAACGATTTGCGTCCATCTTATCCCGTTAAGAAAAGGTATTATTACTCTCTCTTTCTTACTCTCTCGCTATCTATCTATCTATCTATCTCTTTTTTATCCATTCTTCGCAGCAATACAATTTTCAATATCTTCGACCGTGTCTTCCATCACAGGGGATCACCCTGGACGAAGATCCTCCACTTGATCGGCACGATTCTGCCGCTGGGCCTGCTCATAGCCGCCCTCACGCCGAACGTGGTCAAGGTTGACAACGCTACGTGAGTGTCCACTTTCCTTTATTAAACGAACAACCGTAACCGAATTCTAACCGCGATATCCGAAAAAATATCCCAGCCAGCCCAATATCGTCCTGTCGAAATGGAGGGTCGCCGACCTACCGGTCGAGCATAAGCAGGCGCGATTCACGCCTGATGCGCAGCCCGATTGCGAGGAGAGATCCGTCTGCCGCGTGATCCTCGCCGGCGGTGACGCCGGATCGACCGTGTTGCAGAATATCTTGTGGAATTTGGCGACGAGGTAATTCGTTATTTCATCTTAGGATTGTGGATAGAGTTTAAAATAATAATAATAATAATAATAACAACAAAAAATAATAATAATAATAATAATAATAATAACAAAAAAAAATAATAATAATAATAATAATAATAATAATAAAAATAATCGGTTGATTTTAATGCTCTGCTTGGACGGAAAAATGGGTTCTCCTACGAACGGTCAGAGCGATGAGAAATGAAGATTGACGTTAAATGGGACGTTTAAAATCGCCTTATTAAAACGGCGCTCGTTTACAGTTGAGCACTTCGTCGGAAGAGCACTTTTTTAACGGCTTAACGACCGATTGCCGTCTATTGCAATTACAGAAGTGGAACAACGAAGGCAGTGTTTAAAGCGTTTATACGATCCGTCTAAAGCCGATTCTTTTATCATCTTTCTAATATATATATATATACGAGATAAAAAGGAAAGAGAGTAAGAAAAGAGGACAATTTTGCTTTTTAAAAAACCGGTTCCAATTTTCTTCTCGATTTACAACGCGCGAAAAACAATAATAACGATAACACGAATTTACTTATGATTATTATCGATCATATAATTCGCTTTGGCGGAAAATTTTCACGCAATTCTTTTCTTTTTCTTTCCTTTTTTTTTTTTTTTTTTATTTATCGCTAGAACATCGACCGCAACGGCGAAGAAGAGCGGTCTTCACGAAGTTTTCAAGGCGGTGAAGAAGAGGGATTGTGCCAACGTTCCCTGCCAATCTCCCCTCTCATCTTGAATCAAGAAAAAAAAAAATGGCGGCAGACGACGGTAACAGTGTTAAATACACGGATGTGAGCAATTTCCCCCGGTGAAAAATTGAAGCCAACTGCTACATTACCAACGTTCAACTTTCTCCAAACGATAGGATAATAATAAATAGGATAATAAAAAAAAAAAAAATAAAATAAAAATAAAAGAAGAGAAACAGAAGTGTAGAAACTCCGAGCGTAAAAGTAGTTACCAACTTTTTATGCATTCATTCATATTTTTTTTTTTTTTTTTTCATAATTGCGAACGAGTTTGCAATCCATTCTATCGAATTCTATCGAAAGTCTGAGACTCTTGCTGTTGTTCGAAAGTGAGGAAAGATCGACCGAACAAGGGAGCAGCTTTGACCGATTATCGATGAAACGATTATCCTCTGGCATCTCTGTTTCGCCTCGTGCTCGCCTCTGCTCGATACACAAGCGAAAGTAGTCACACTTGCGTGCAACTAGGTCGACGATACATGCGTGTTCTATGTTCGAGAATTTTATGTCTACGGGATATAAACGAGGGATTTATCGATCAACCTTTCAACGAGATCGAAAATCGAAAAATTATCCATCTCTTTGGAAAGGGATCGTTGAATCTTTTTCCTCCATTTTCCAATCTTCTGATAAGATTTTTATTTTCCAAACGATTAAATAACAGACACAAGTTTTAACTTCGGATCGAGCACGAGTTTTTTCGCGAAAGCTATACGCGAAAAGTAGCTGACTTTCCATCATCGATGGCGTTAAAAATGTTGTTAAAAAGAGAGAGAGAGAGAAAAATCTTGGATATTTCGAGACGAACGATTCGCCTCTCCATTTTCTCCTCGGCGAACCCTTTCCTGACTAATAAACATCTCCTCGTAAACTTCTCCGGATACGTCGATCCTTTCACGCGGCCATCCGCTCGATCCAATTTCTCGCCCGATGCGAAAAAAGTACAGTATCGATCCTTATCGATGACGTATTTAATAAAAATTACGTTTCGATCCACTAATCGAGACGAGCGAGATCGATCGATCTTTTCGTTCCCACGAATCGTTTGTCGTCTCCTCTCGTCGTCGATAATTAAATGCCACGCACGCGCCACGTGGTCGACAAAGGAATTAACAAGGCAAAGAAGAGGTCGCAGTTGTCGTTTGAAAGAAACAAAAATAAAAACTCGAGAGAAGAAAGAAACACACCGTGGAACGTGGAAAGTTCGCCAATTACGCCCACTTATCTCTAATTATCCCCTATTCCCCCCTCCTTCCTTATAATAATAAACACACTTTCGCGGAATTCCCGTCTGTTTTTACGACGACACGATGGATAAAGATCGGTTTTAGATGGCGGAGATAAGATAAGAAAGTTTCGAACGTGAGCATCGAAAGTGAGCCACTTTTTATCGACGATCGTCGTTCCACTTTTAGACTCCTCTGTCTATAACGCGATGGTTAAAAAAAAAAAAAAAAANNNNAAAAAAAAAAAAAAAAAAGAAAAATAAGCTGGGATTTCCGGCCATCAAGTCGACGATGCAGATGTGCAGTGTACACTCGTTCCAACTTCTTATCGTCCCGGGAATTGTGTTAACGAGACGACTTTAAATGGCTTTTGCGCGATAAACGATTGGAGAAACGATTTCTGTGGACTCGCGCAACGTTACGGGACTCTAAGTTTTTCTTTTGTCTCTCTCTCTCTCTCTCTCTCTCTCTTTCTCTCTCTCTATGGTATGGAACACTTTTTGAGAGTTATTTTATTAAAAAATAAAAAAGATCGATGTTTTAAAAATCGGTTACTTCGAAGAGTATTTTTATCTCGCGAGAAGGTAATTTAGAAAGATTAGTAGTTAATGAATTGATCGATGATTGATCTAGATTTTTCCTTTCGTAGACGGGGAGCACAACAAGTTTTTACAAGTAAATATAAATAGAAGAAAGAGAATAAGATCCAACGATTGTCCTTCCTTCTCTTCTTTATTTAACGTTCCCCTCCCTTCGCGCGAAATTACACGCTTAAACGCTGATGTGCATCAAAGGGATGCAATTTTCGAAATTGCAGGGTATGAATCGAGGGTCGGATCGATTTATTAACAAAGAATGTATGAGATGTTAAACAACCTCTAAAAAAAAAAAAAAAAAAAAAGGAAAAAACTAAATGCGATTAAAAAGCTTTAGTATTTATGCAAACACTAATTTATGCAAAAATGAGACGTGGTTTTCCAACGAGTGTGGAAATCGACAAGATATAATCGTCGACCTCCTACGATAGAAGGAACGAACATCGTTCGAAGGATTTGAATAATTTTCGATTTTCGAAACGTACCGACTCTTCCCTTCTTTCGCCTTTCTCTCCTCCTCGGTGAACTTCCTCGATGGTATTCCGATTCTTTCCTCTCCTTCTCCTTGCAAATTTTATTTTTCAACGGATTGTTTCGCAGAGGCGATCCTTGGAATGGCGGGTATGAGGACGCGTGGGCTCGTCTTCCCGAGGTATGTCAAGGAAAACGAGCGCGACTAGCTGAACGATATTGGAAAACGTACGAGGCCTTCGTGAACCGTGTCGAGAACAATGGCTACACGCGTTTATTATTCTTTAACGATACGGAGAGGTCGCTGAATTCTATCGAAGGACGTTGTCCGCGAGAATATCCGATAACGATTTTTCTCCGATTTCTATTTTTTTTCTTTTTTTATATCGAAATATCACGAGAAACTTTTTCAATTATTCTTGGGTTGAACGAATATTCGATATTCAGAAAAGAATTGCGAGAAAAATTGTTCATAAGTAAGTTTTGCAAAATAAGAAACTAAAATAGGAAATATATTTTTTACTTGATCGAGTCTGCATAAGAATCCGTATATTGCTGTGCGATAATAACGAAGCATAAATTTCTCAGAAAAATAAATATACAGGTGGAAAAAAAAAAAGAAAAAGAAAAAAGTGTGCCGTGTAAAATGGACAAGAAAGCAAAGTAAATTATTCCCAGCTTCCGAGACCACTTAAACGGTTGTTGCGAGAAAAAGAAAGTGGCCGATCGTCTTCTCTCGGCAACGTGGCATTGCGACCTTCCTCGACCTTCCGGAATCCGATGCCACGCCAGTTGGCGGGCAAAATTTAATGGATCGAAATTACGAACAAAGTTGCTTCGATAATTTATCGTTCGAAATGTAATAATAATTGGAAATAATTTATAATGCCAAATGGATCAATTATAACAGCTACGAATAAATGTTATTCAATTTTAATAAGTAATTATTCAAAGTAACTTTATTCCCAATTTTTAACAGAGTTAATGCTCAACTTTGAATACAGATCGTCGATTTTGGGTTAGTATATATGATGAATACTATGGTATAGAGAAAAATAGAGAAAAATGTTTTTTTTCAAATTAACCAATTAGATCCACATTTCTTCCGCGAGATTTTTTTTCACTCAGTGATGGGGAAAAATTTAATAGTCGAAGTTACGAATAAAGTTACTTGGATAATTTATCGTTCAAAATGTAATTACAAAAATAATTGGAAATAATTGTAATGTCAAATGGATTAATTATATTTATTTAATATTTTTAACATCGATCAATGCCCAATTCTAGAATTGGAGATAAAGATCGTCGATTTTAGATAATATATGACGAATATTACGGTAGAGACAAAAATGCGTTTTGCTTCAAATTAACCAATCAGATTCTTTCCGCGAGACTTCTTTCCACCAATGAACAATAGTTATTTCTCGAATCGTAACGATAGGTTAGAACTGCATCGAGTCGTACGAAACTGACGATTCGAACGTAACTATTTTTCGATAAATTCAATCATCGAAATATTCAAAAATCAAATTTTCCGATAATATATTATCGATAAATCTGACGAAAAAAAGACTTTAATAAACTAGAATTGTAAATGGTTATTTCTCGAATCGTAACGATAGGTTAGAACTGCATCGAGTCGTACGAAATTCATAAATCGAACGTAACTATTTTTCGATAAATTCAATCATCGAAATATCAATTCAAAAATCAAATTTTCCGATAATATATTATCGATAAATTCGATGACAAAAAGACGTTAATAAATTAGAATTGAAAATGGTTATTTGTCGAATCGTGACGATAGGTTAGAACTACATCGAATCGTACGAAATTCATAAATCGAACGTGTGTGAGACATCGTTTGCATCGAACGTGTATTAGACGAATCTCGACAATAATTCGAATGTAATTAATTCTTCTCAAAATTTTCGATAAATCCGACGAGAAAAACATGTTAATAAGTTAGAGTCGAAAATAGTTATTTCTCGAATCGTAACGATAGGTTAGAATTGCATCGAGTCGTACGAAATTCATAAATCGAACATCGTTTACATCGAACATGTGTGAAACGAATCTCGATGATGATTCAAATATAATTAATTCTTCTCAAAATTTTCGATGAGAAAATCACGTTGATAAGTTAGAGTCGAAAATATTTTATTTCTGGAATCGATAGGTTAGAACTGCATCGAGTCGTACGAAATTGACGATTCGAACGTAACTATTTTTCGATAAATTCAATCATTGAAAAATCAATTCAAAAATCAAATTTTCCGATAATATATTATCGATAAATTCGATGACAAAAAGACGTTAATAAACTAGAATTGTAAATGGTTATTTCTCGAATCGTAACGATAGGTTAGAATTGCATCGTACAAGTCGTACGAGATTGATAAATCGAACGTGTGTGAGACATCGTTTACATCGAACGTATTAGACGAATCTCGACAATGATTCGTAATTAATTCTTCTCAAAATTTTCGATAAATCCGACGAGAAAAACACGTTAATAAGTTAGAGTCGAAAATAGTTATTTCTCGAATCGTAAGGATAGGTTAGAATTGTATCGAATCATACGAAATTGATAAATCGAACATCGAACATCGATTTACATCGAACGTATGTGAGAGCAATCTCAATGATGATTCCAATGTAATTAATTCTTCTAAAAATTTTCGATATCGATAAATTCGACAAGAAAAAGATGTTAATAAGCGGCTAGTGTCGAAAATAGTTATTTTTTGTATCGTAACGATAGGTTAGAATTGCATCGAGTCGTACGGATTGATAAATCGAACGATGTCTCGACGATGATTCGAACGTAATTAATTCTTCTTTATGTTTTTCTCGTCGGATTTATCGATATCGAAAATTTTGAGAAGAATCAACTACTTTTTCTCAAATTTTTCGATAAATCGAAAAATCGGACGAAATAAAAACAGTTAATAAACAGTTGGAGTCGAAAATAGTTATTTCTCGAATCGTGAGGATAGATCAAAATTGATGATTCGAAACGTAATTATTTTCATAATTTTCGTAATTTTTCTCAAATCTTTTCACTTCTTCTACGAGACTTCTTTGACAAAATTTAATAGTTAAAGTTACGAATAGAATATATCTCGATAATTTATCAAAACGTAATAACATATAAACATAATAATAATTGAAAATGCCAAACGATGAGAGTATTTCAATAAATAATTACTTAAAGCAACTTTACTCGACATTTTCAATTACTTACTTTTTCAACGAATTCAACGCCGCTTACTTCTCTAAAACTCCTAAAACTTCCTCTTTCTCTTCCTTTAGTACGATTATGAAAACGATCTATGGAAATCTCGACGAGAAGCAAACTATTCCATTCCAAATCTCCCAATTTACAGAGATAGAGTCATTATTATAGCAGAGATAAAATACGAAAAGAAGATCTGTTCGATGATGCTCACAGCCAAGCTTTCAACTTTCTTCAACCATTCTGATTCGATTCAATAGATTTCAATCGTTTTAATAGATAGATCGGTAAATAATCGGAAGGAGGAAGTATAAATTGAAACAAAGTCGTTACAGGAGAGGAAATCGTTAAATTTATAGGAAAAATTGGTCGGAGGCCAATTTACGGCTTCGATCATTAATGCTGGAACAGTAATAATAATTTATCGTTTCAACGTTTTTGCTTCCTGTGCATTCGAAAAAGATGCTCGGGTAGAAAGCGAGGCGAAAGATACAGCCATGACGGATAATTGAGCAATTTTAAAATAATTAAGTTTTTAACCCTGGTCTTAATATATTCCTCGTGGCTCGTAAAATAAGAATATTGAATATTCATTCGCGTTAATCGAATTTGGCGAGCTCGTCGTTATAGTATCGATGCTATCCTCGTATCCCAATCTACCGATATGCAAATCGTATGATTAACGATCCTAGGCTAATGGATCGTTACGTGATCGTTAGAAGTTACGTGTTAAGATTTTAAATGCTTGCAAATCGTCCTCTCTTTATCTCGATCTCGAATCTTTCACCAATTTACGAAATAGAAATAGAATTAAAGAAATCGATTTATTCGTTTAAGATTGCTGTTCTGAAAGATAATCGCCAATTTCTATATATACATACAGAAATTTCCAAAGAAAAAATAAGTTAAAATTGACAATATCGAGGATAGTGAGAGAGGAGAAAATTTATAAAATATGAAAAAAAAATCTGGAATCAAAATATCGCACGCCTTCTTGCAAGACAATCATTCCATTCATGATCGATTTCCATTGAGAAACAGGAAATTTCACGAGGCTCGCTCGTTAATTAACGATTTAGCAATGGTGGACAGGGAGCAGAGGAGGTTATGGTACGTTCCTTTACGATCGGCCATTGAGAAAAGAAATTTCACGAAGCTCGCTCGTTAATTAACGATTTAGCAATGGTGGACAGAGGAGGTTATGGTACGTTCTTTCACGATTCCTTGGGCCATTCAGAAAAGAAATTTCACGAAACTCGCGCGCGGACAGCCGCCAACTTCGTTCCTTCTCTTCTTCTTCTTCTTCTTCATTATCGTCGTCGTCGTCGTCGTCGATGGACTTTCACTGGCGGGTCCCTGAACCCAACACGTTCCTTCCGGTTCGCCGCGGGGACGACTTCCCGCCGTTCGTGAACTTGAAAACCAGACCGGCTCGAAGTTTCGCAAAGTTTCTTCCTTCCTCCTCCCCGCCCCTCGAAACCCACTCCCCTCCCTCCTTCGTACTTACGTTTCGTTCTCGTGTCTGTAACGAAGTGGAGAAAGTGGCGGCTCGAGCGAACCTCGAACCTTAATTTTCATTCGCGTTAATTTCGATTCCTTATCGCGTCAAGGAATGGAATTAATCGGATTGGATTAAACGAACGAAACGAATCGACTGAGGGAATAAATGATGGCGGAAGAAAGAAAAACTTGACGATCTTTCTGTCAAAATATAAAAACCATCGATCAACCTTTCCATTTCTAATTTGTGTGTCTTTCGGTATCCCGTTAAAAATCGATAAGGAATTGATAGGGAAAAAGAAAAGAAAAGAAAAGAAAAACGACGATCTTTCTGTCACTCAAAATTATATAAATTAAAATTATAAAATATATATATATATATAAATATATATATATATATATAAATTATATAAATAAAAATTATCATTTCTAATTTCCTGTCCTTTAATATTCTGAAGATTTTGTTCATCCTCTGATCTTTCAAAAAATCAACAAGAAACTGATAGGGAAAAAAAAAATAGAAAAAGAAAAATTCGACAATCTTTCTATCACTCAAAATATAAAAATCACCTTTCTATTTCTAATTTCATTCATCCTCTGATTCCCTATCAAAAATCGACAAAGAACTGAAAAAAAAAAAAAAAAAAAAAAAGAAAAGAAAAATTCGACAATCTTTCTATCATTCAAAATATAAAAATCTATTTCTAATTTTGTTCATTCTTATGTTAAAAATTGACAAGGAACTGATAGGGGGAAAAAAAAAAAAAAGAAAAAGAAAAAAAAACTCGACGATCTTTCTGTCATCAAAATATAAAAAATCACCTTTCCATTTCCTAATTTTCTATCCTTCGGTATCCTGAACAGAATTCATCCTCCGATCCCCCCAAACGGTCAAAATTTCTTGACTTAAAATCGAAACTTTTCCAAAGTTTGGAAGAAATCGTGGATAAAAAAAAAAAAAAAGAAAGAAAAAGAAAAAATAACTCAATGATCGTCGATCGAATTTTTCGCCGGGGGGCCGATTTGGAAAAATCGGGATCGAGGGGGAGAGACGCGAAAGAACGTGGGGACGGAAGAAGGCGAAGGCGAACGCGGGAAGTAGGTCGGAGAGAAGTGCCGGTCCTTCGTCGGAGACACGAGGAGCCGCCGACTGAGCGCCTTCCTCAGTCTCGCCAAGATATTCCGGGAGTCAACAGGTGCGTAGGAGCAGGCCTCCTCTCTCCGTTTTCCTTTGGGGGAAAAAAAAGGGGAAAAAAAAAAAAAAAAAGTATAAAATACTCGCCTTCCATCCGCACGTTCGACGACGCGCGTCTCTTTTCTCCTATCATGAGGATCTGATCGACTATTCTATTATATATACATAAAATATATATATATATATTTGTGATATTTTCTGTCTCTTTTGTTACCTCGTTATCGTGACTGGACACCGAGCCGAATCTTCGATCGACCACTCTGGATCGACACTGGATCGAAGTTAACTACACTGAAGTTATCGAAATATGGACATATTCAAGGTATTTATATAACATTTTTTTTTCATTCTCATTTTTCATTTACTTCCTATTATCTCAAACGAAAATTTCGTATCGGTGGATTAGTTGGAAAATTCGGAGTTTGGAAGTGGTTGAAAGAATCAGTCGGAAGTCGATTTCGCACGCACTGATTCCTTTTTCCATTATGCGTCTCGTAACGCCCACATTGCGGTTTATTATTCCTCGACTCGGTCATTTCACGTCTCAGTGACAAAAGTTGAGAGACAAAAGAATGATCGTTAATTAGCAGAGAGAAAGAGAGAGAGAGAGAGAGAGAGAAAACGAATGCACGATCCACCGGTTTTCTGGGGCGGAAAAAACGATGGCGACACCGATGGATCGGGGCCACCATCCAACGAACGAAATTAATCGCGCGTCGTTCGTTAGCCGAACTGGTTGCAATTTTCATGTTCCCGTGAGCTCGGTAATGCAGGAATCTTTTCACGCATCAACGAGAATTATCCTCTCCGCTTTTTTCCAGGTACAATAATTCGTCACTTGCCGTTTTTTCTTGGAAACATTAACAATTATACATCCACGATTTCCATGGCGAAATATTCATCCATCCTCCACAGATATTTCCACGTATCCTGCAAGTTTCGAAAGCGAAGAGTATAATTACGGAATTTAACGGAAGGAAGATACGAAGATTTTTAAATCAGCTGCGCGTTTCCTTTCGATTAATCGTCGTTTTACTTTGTTACCATGCAATTAACGTTGGAAGAAAAATTCTCAATAATCGTTTCGAAAAATCTTCATTTCCATTCGAATCCGTCCAATGATAAATTCCGCGTGACGTGCAACAGTCGAATTGGTTACATTTTATTTCTTAGCGTATTTCAAGGAGAATTCGCGAAGGAAGATTAGCGGTTGCTCGTAATCGGGCGTGGATGACGAAGGAAAGTCAGCAGAATGGAAAAAGTGGATCGTCTCGTCGTTGACGCGTGCGCATTGCGCGAAAGCATGTCGTTCCATTTCACTTGTCGGGAGACTAGACTCCCCTCTGTCCAATCTTATTTTTCTCTCTTTCTCTCCACCGAGAATATTTCCTCTTTTCATTTCGAGTTAATGAGAAAAAAAAATTTTCGAATCTTTCGAAAAGGAAACGAGATTTCCAATTATACGTTACAATATATCAGTCGAAACGATAAACTCGCTATTTCACTGAGAAGAAAGAAAGAAAAATTTTAAACGTTCCGTTCTGATAACAAGATACACATGTACATACACGTAGAGTAATAACTTCTTCGAAATCGCGAAATTTCTCCTCTCTTCCTCTCGAAATAAAAATAACAATCCAACGCAATGTGTTGAACAATGGAAATATTGGCGTTGTTCCCTGGAAATATGAATAATCATTGGATTAATAATAGAAAGTAGTCAGCCGGGTTACTGCATCGCTATTTTCTAATCTCGGCCCAAGAATACCGGAGATTTCTGCGAGCCATTAAATTTCTCTCGCCGCCTATTATACCTCGACTTGGAGAAACCTTACGCCACGCTTCCTGCGGGAATAATTAATCCCAAGGTCGTAACGAATATTCGTAAACATCGATCCTTCCTTCTCCTTAAATCGTTGATTTTAATTTTTTCCAAAAAGAATTATACTCTCTACGATTTATAACGTAAAGAAGAAAAAATAAAAAAAAGAGTTTCTCGCCGTGTCCCCGAAGTATTTTAAAGAGAGAGAGAGAGAGAGAGAGAGAGAGAATATCTTCGTTCCAGTTCCGCGAGACTACAACTCGATGTAAACCTTAAACGGGTTTAGACGGGTCGATCTTACTTGGAAATAAAGAGGAAGCGTAGAGGAGAAAGTTACTTCGATGATTCATCGTGTGTAATATGTATCGCGCGTTATTCCTCTTTTGTTCCGTGCAATTAAACGGGTTTTTTCTTTACAGGTTAGAAGGTATCCCTCTCGAAAGTTATTTAGTTTCACGAGTGTGTCGAGAGGATCGCAAAAGGCATAATATGTATATGTATATGTATATATATATGTATATATACTCGATTTCCAATTTGTAATAAGGATGAACGGAATGGAAAATATCGGGATTCCTGTTTTTATTAAACGAACGAATATTGGAAATGTCAGGGGTGGAACTTCTTCTTCTCTTAAATATTCTTCTCGTTATTTGCAATGCTAATTCCTCAAAACGGGTCTGGGAATCCGAGATAAAAATCTTCCTCCTCATCCTCGATCCCGCGGTTTCACCGATTTTTATCATTCGTAAGGCTTTGCCACACCAATTTCTCGATCGGGTTTCACCGATAAAGTATTCCGACGACGCGATACGAAAAGTGAAAGCGACCCTAAAAAAATCATCACCAAACCTCGGCTTCCAAGCCGAGCCGAAAAATTCTCCAACCTTTCGTTTTCAATAACGAAATAATATATAAGATACGAATATATAAGATACGAATGTAATCGAATCGATCCAAGCCTTGTTGAAATTAATGAAAATTCGATATTCAATGTTGCCACGTTGCACGCACGCGGAGTTGAAAAAGTAATTGGTATAATAATTGTAATAATTGTAAAAGTGTAGTACTGAAAATTTCGAATAATTTCGTTACTTGTTAAAGAATTGTTATATGAAAATTTTAATAATTAAATCTCGCGAGTTTATCCTTCGAAATATTACACTCAAAATGATTGTTGATATTTAATAACTTTTTGTATATTGGAAAATATAGAAGAATAAAATTTCCTCGTGTTTCTCTATCTCGAACATTTCATTAATATTAGCTATGACATCTGTGGATGATTAGTGATTTTCTAGTGTTATTAATCTAGTGACCGATTAAAGTTAAAATAAGTAACTAGTTAAAAATTTCGAATAAAGTTATTTTAATTATTATAATTGATCCGCTTTTATAGTATAACTATCGATCGTTTGCCATTACAATTATTATTATTATGTTTTGGATGATAAATTAAGTAAAAAGAAGTTCAATTTTATTCATAAGTTCAATTATTAAATTTTCCTCATCACTGAATGGAAAGAAGTTTCACAGAAGAAATTTGTCTCATCATTTATATATTATATTCGTCACATATATTAATCCAAAATCGACGATCTGTATTCAAAATTGGGCATTAATTAGATAAAAATTTCGAATAAATATAGTTGATCCATTTGGCATTACAATTATTTCCAATTATTTTTGTAATTTACATTTTGAACGATAATTATAATAAATAATAATTATAATAATAAATAAATAAAATTAATTGAAATAACTTTATTCGTAACTTTGACTATTAAATTTTCCTTTCGTTGAGTGGAAAGAAATCTCGCGGAAGGAATGCGGCTCTGATTGGTTAATTTGGAGAGAAACGCCTATTTTAATCCGCATTTTTATCTCTACTATGGTATTCGTCACGTATATTAATTCAAAATCGACGATCTGTATCCAAAGTTGGGCAAATAACTAGTTAAAAATTTCGAATAAAGTTACTTTGAGTAATTATTTATTAAAATACTCGAATAACATAATTATTATTATGTTTCGAACGATAAATTATCCAAGTAACTTTATTCGTAATTTCAACTTTACTATTAAATTTTCCCCATCATTCATGGCATGATGAAGATAAATATCGATATATTTTAACAATTATCCACTATTAGATTCAACTTTCTACAAGTTTTCATCTTTCATTCATATCCATTTGAACAGCGAAATCACGAAACTGGTCCACGAAATCTCTGCACTAAGCAAGGAACATTTGAGAAGAAGTTCCACCCAAAAATCTGTAAAAAGACGTTTCGAATATCCCTTGGTTAAAAAAATCCAAATCCACGAATCGCGATATTTCATCCTTGCAATTGCACGAGACTCTAAATAGAACGCACATACGCGCTCAAAAATAGTTTGTGTGTGCCACACAACATGGATGGACTTCCGTAACCTCGTCTTTTCAACGCACCTCGTAACGCGCGTTTTATTTTTTAAATCGATTCCACGCGTAATAAAACGTGAAATTTCATTCGCGATAGGATCGATTTTTTTTGCATGGAGGAACGTGCACAGATCGCGAGACCGACTTTCGAAAACCTTGCCTTGAATAAATTCGCGCGTTGCTTTATTCGTATGCGCTCGGTAAAACGCGATTGCCAAGCGTCTCGATAAGAATATATAAAAAAAAATGAGAGATCGAATTAATCGAGAATAAAGAAACACAGAAGAGTTTCTTCCCCTGGCAATAAAATTTCTTCTACCTCGTTTCCTTATCGTAGATAACGTTCATTCTGACGGCGATGACACTGGTCGCCTCGAACACCGATACCGCGGATCTACCGAAACCGAGCTACGCCAGAACGATGCTGAAGGTATCGCGAAGCCTTCCAGGCGAGACCGAAGAGTTGAAGGTGCGCACGAGCGAAGGGAACGTCGCCACACTGATCGTGAAACGTAGGGAGAAATCGGTGACGAACGAGACGAGGACCGCCATTTTGGAGGATTTCGAAAATTCACACAATTCCGGTATAATAACAACAAACGCGGAGAACGGGACGTATCGGAACGCGTCGATGAAATCCGAGGCGAAGAGCAAAGAGGAGGTGAAGAGGCTGGAAGACGCGCAGATAGAGCAACTGAGGGCGAAACTATCGGACGGGGCGGAGGGGCGGAAAAGCTTGTCGAAACCTGGCAACGAATCGGGGAGGGGGGACACGGACGAGAACGATCGACCGCCTATCGGCGAGAGGAATATCGATTACGGGAACTGGACGCCTTTGGGTATGGACGGAAGGGCCGTGGTCCAGCTCGAGGAATCGAGCACCGAGGAGTACCAGAGTTGGAAACCTCTTCGAGCCAACTCGAAGACGAGCACCGCCGCCACCATCACCACCAGCACCGCGACCAACGAGGAGAGGTCGAGCTACGCGAGGTTCGATCCTGTCTTTCCTGCCGGTGGATTGCTGTTGTCGCGTCATTTTCAAGACAGATCTCAGAGGAAGCTGGAGTTGGGGGAGCGGGGAGAGAGCGAGGAGGGGCCGCGGTACGCGTTCCTGACGCACCAGGTGCGCTCGTCGAGGACCAACATCGGGGCGAACGCGTCCAAGAACAGGGATGGAAAGAACGTGCCGGCTGAAGTTATGGTCAGGTCGGAGATAAACGTGAAAACGAACCCGAAGAGGTCGGCGATGACGTTGGACGGGGATGGTACACCCGTGATCCACGGGAAAAGGGTCCCGGACGAGCCGATAGACAAGATTCAAACATGGCGGAACGCTCGGGTGATCAACAATAAATTGATCCACGATGGGGGGGAAGGGACGATGGGGGATTCCAACTTTTATCCGACGGAGAACGTTTTGGAGAGGCAAAGGTTCGAGAGATTCTTCCAGAACGTGAATAGAAGGTACGGTTTTTAGTTAGATCGTTTCTTTCGGATTATACTTGTCCACGCTTGCGAGCTTGTGAAAGGTAATAGGTTCGTACCCGTCGTCGATGAATTAAAAATTTTTATATTATTATATTTTATTTTATTGAGCTGTTTGGAAAGTAATTTTGTTCGAAACGAAACCGAAAGTCGCTTCACGTGATCACGAACGAAAGTCAGATTCGACGAATTCAATCTCGTAGCAATTTCTCGAGTCGTTATTCGTCGGTTTGCTTCGATCGGTTTTCCAGAACGTGGCGCATCTTTAACGTCGAAATTGTCGAAACGAAATTTTGAAAACCACTTTCCACGCTGTTTCGTACTGTTAATACACCTTTTCCATACACTTCACATAACTTTTTTCTTGCCTGAACGGCATTCTTACCTTTCTCGTAATAAAAATGTAAAATATGCTCCTTTTGATCTTGCATCTTGTTGTTATCACACACGAAAAACACAATCGCACAGAATCAAACAAATTTTTCTTATAAATAAACCAACTGAAATGCCAACTCTCGAAATATATAACACGGTTTCGAATGAAGTTGGCTGGATAAACGTTCGACTAGCGACACTTGCGTGAAAAAACGAAATTACTTTCCGACAACCTAATAATTTCTACTCTAGAATGAAGTTGGCTGGATAAGTGCTCGACTAGTGACATTCGTGTGAAAAAATGAAATTACTTTCCGAACAACCCAATATAAATCAATATGTTCAAACGCATAAAAATTTGAATTTTATAGAATGGAATTAATTTATAATATGCGTTTAAATCGCATTTGAAGATTAATTTTCTAAATAATTATAATATCTAGCGATACGTTTGATATTTTGATAATTTATTTATCTACATATTAATTTCTTTTTTTTTTATTTTTATCAATAAATTTAAACAACGCAAACACAAACAATTTAAAAAATTTAAACAATTTGTTCGACAACGAATCATAGAATTTTTCGATTATTAGAATTAGATGTAATCGATATTAAACCGAGATAAAAGAATAATTTATCGTTTGTAATCTCCGATCAACCAACAGGTACGGTAAAGAGTACGAGGAGGAAGGGAAGAACGTGTTCTTCGAATGGGATCCTAAGAATTATAAAAACGAGGCGTTGAAAGCGGAGGTGTACGAGGCGAGGACGGACGGCTACCGAAGCAACGGGCGCAAACGAATGCTCCACCCTGACGGGGTGTCCGTCTACCCCGTGTCCCAGTTGTACACGCCCGAGAGCCAGAAGATAGCGCCGATCGCCCTGAAACCGGGCGCAAGGGCGCCCGTCCTCCAATACGCCCATCCGGAATTGGGCGTCCAACCGGCCAAGATCGTGAAGAACGAGAAGAAACGGCCCGACAACTTCCCGGAGAATCAATACTCGTTCACGGAGCAAAGGCAGAAGAAGAAATACGTGTTGAACGACAAGAATATCGTCGACACTTACACAACGAAGAACTATTATCCGAATCAACATTTCTACGGGTTGAAGAGGCCGAGCGACGCACCGTTCTGGGTGAAAATCTCCGAGAACTTGAAGAATCAATTCTCGAACAGCGTGGAGAAGATGTCGCAATTCACGAAACCTGTGATCGATCCCCTGGTGGAGGCGACCCATAAAATTTCCCAAAACTTGGGCCTCTCGAACGGGGGGAAGGAGGCCCAGGACAAGGTCGGCACGGTCGCATCCGGCACCACAAGCATCCTGATTCCGGCGCTTGGCCTCGTTGCATCGGGCGCAGCTCTTGGGATCGGAGCGGTCGCCGTCGGTAGATACCTGGACGTGGACGTGTTGAAAAGGTCGGGCGACGCGATGACAGGGACCGAGATCGAGTATCGAAGGGCTTTGGACGAGGGGGCGGGGGGCGGGGAACGAGAGAACGGTGATAAAAGCGGAGGCAAAACGATATACGACGGGGGCGTATACTTGTTCGAGGAAGGGAAGGGCGAGGGGGACAAGGGGACGTCGAACGATCGAAATGGAGTTTTGTTGATCGTCGAGGAAGAGGGTGGAGGAAAGGGGAGGGAGGACGGAGAGGAAAGGACGGATTCGGAACGGAATTTAAGAAGGAGACGGAGCCTCAATTATTTGGACGTGTTCCAGGCGGAGGGGAATTTGAAAAATTTGATCAGGAACAAACGTCTTCAACGAAAGGGAGCCGATTCGATCAGCGAGATCGTGGAGATAGATCTTCCAGCACGCGAGGGAAGCATAGACGTGACGGAGTTTCTCGTCCCGAGGAGAAAGATCGGGACGGATCGGGTTGAGTCCTCCCCGAACGAGGAGGAGGATTCCGCCATTTTGATAATCGACAGTGGCTCCACGCTGGCTAAATTTCTTCCCAACAACGATTCGAAAGATTCGGACTCGAAGAACTCTGTGGAGGACGAGGAGAGAAATTCGGTGGACGGGAGGGACGAGAGACGAAGGAGGAGGAGGAGGAGGAGGAGGAGCGTAGAAAGCGATCAGGAACTGGAGGATGCGCTTCAGAATTTGGAGAACGCCGAGATCGCGGAGGTGGCCCACATAGATGGAGACTGGACGAATACGCCTTGTGCGAAGAGGATATTTTGCGACACCATGATCCAGAGAGGGCCAGACGCTGTTATCACGATGGAGAAGAAAATGGCCGCCCTTTTGGGCCTGTGAGTATCGTAGCCACCTCGACTTCGACGAGGCAACCGATATTTTCCAAGAATTGTTTTCCTCTCTGAAAAAAAGTTGTATAGTTACAAAACACGGGAACTCGTTTACTCGTGTGATATAATGGCGTATTGATTAGCATATTACGTATTGGTCGAGTATGTTATTTTATCTTTCGGTTTCGTAGATTGTAATCTTTTTTTTCTTTCGAAAGATATTTATAAATACGTATCTAATCCTCGTATCTAATCCAGGAATCAAATTTAATCTCGAGTAAGAATAGGTGAATGGCGAATTCGACGAGAGTAGATTGCAGATTCATGGTGAAACCTCGTGCTCAAGTAGAAATCATTTTATGATCGATATTTCGAGGACGAGACTTGACGTTTAAATTCGAGATCGGTTTCCTATCATCGTACTCTTTCTCTAGTTTTTTCTGGACACGCGCGTCACCTGTCACGACGAAGATTCACGACACGCGTGCACGCGTGTATGCACAAAGTGAAATTGTGCTAAGAGGTAAAAGTCGAATCAGTCAGTAGGACGTCGCCGGCGAAAGCTGAGAAGAAAGTTATCCGTTGCTCGTTATGCTTCCGACCAACCGCTTCTTCTTTCCTTTACTGCCGCACTCGTCTGCCTATAATGTCTTTGTTCAAACTTCGAGTTTCGAGTTTCGTGTGAGCAGGAGAAATCGAAAAATTTGAGAAAAAGTAGTTACGTACGAATCATCGCCGAGATTCGTCTCACATCGATGTAGACTGTGTCCGATTTATCAATTTCGCACGGCTCGATGCAACTTTGATCTATCCATTCGAGAAATAATTATTTTCGACTCCAGCCGCTTATAAACGTCTCTTTTTCTTCGGATTTATCGATAATATATTATCGAAAAATTTGAAAAAAAGTAATTACGTTCGAATCATCAATTTCGTACGACTCGATGCAATTCTAACCTATCGGTTACGGTTCGACAAATAACTATTTTCGACTCCAGCCGTTTATTAACGTCTTTTTTTCATCGGATTTATCGATAATATATTATAAAAAATTTTGAGAAAAAGTATTTATGTTCGAATCAACGTCGAGATTCGTTTCACACACGTTCGATGTAAACGATGTTCGATTTATCAATTTTATACGATTCGATGTAACTTTGGCCCATCGTCACGATTCCAGAAATAATTATTTGCAATTCTAGCTTATTAACGTCTTTATTTCATCGGACTTATCGATATCAAAGATTTTGAGAAGAATTAATTACGTTCGAATCATTTGAGATTCGTCTCACACACATTCGATGTAAACAACGTTCGATTTCGTACGATTCGATACAACTTTGGCCCATCGTCACGATTCGAGAAATAACTATTTTCAACTCTAACCGCTTATTAACGTCTTTTTCTTATCCGATTTATCGATAATGTATTATTGAAAAATTTTAAAGAAATTACGTTCGAATTCGTCAATTCCGTACGACTCGATGCAATTCTAACCTATCGTTACGGTTCTAGAAATAACTACTGTTCACTGGTGGAATGAAGTCTCGCGGAAGGAATGCGGATCTGATTGGTTAATAGAAAGAAAGGCCTATTTTCATACACATTTTTATCTCTACCGTGATATTCATCACATATACTAATTCATAATCAATGATCTTTTCGAAAATTTTAAATAAAGTTATTTTGAGTAATTACTTCTTAAAATGCTCGAATAACATAATTATTTCCAATTATTATTATATTTCGAACGATAAATTATCCAAGTAACTTATTCGTAACTTCACTATTAAATTTTCGCTATCACTGTCTGCATCTAAACTCGATGCATTAGCGTAGGCACAAAATATTCTAAGATATATCGATATAAAATAAATATTTTTTTTATTTTCTCATAATACACTAGCATAGACTAATTACGACTCGTAACGATAGTTTAATTTATAAACGTAATTTTATATTCGTGTAGTTAAGATAACAATCATATACGCATAAATTAGACATATTATAGATAATTTCGAAAATATTTCAATTTCCAGTTTTAAATGAAAATAATTTTTAATATTCAATATTCAAATTACAACTTCTACTATTATATAACTATTGTATAACATGTGGTGTCAGGATTGTTAACAAAGCGTTTAATGAGAACAGACAATTTTAGAAAAGGATTCCTCTTCCTGTACCGTCTTGCCAGACTTCTTTTCAACATGAATAATACTTTCGATTCCAGCTTATTAACACATCTTTTTATCGAATATCGATTACATATCCTCTTTCTATTACCTCGAATATCAATGTTTCTCTTTTTTTTCCAATAAATTTTCTCAACCAGCCATTATTAATATTCATTGAACAATGGGATTTTCGCAGAATTCAACCAGGTGCAGCTATCCAAGTGTCGAGCCATTTTCAACAGGTGATGGACGCGGTGCGAAGACACGATTGTTCCAGCTTCCTGTGCCCCCAGGCCAGGCCCGGGAACGTCTTCTTCTAGATCCCTCTTCTAGATCTTCGACTTCCCCACCTCCTGGAGGAAAGCGGAAATGATAAATCGTCGATTTCACGAACGGGTTCGGTGAAAGCGTTCGAACACTTCGACAGACTTGCTCTCCTCCTTCTCGAAAATTTCTCATGGAAATTTTTCTCCCGATCGCAAAGAATCGCAAGAAAATTTTTGAAAAAAAAATTCGTGGGGCAAAGCGAGTCGAGATCGCACCAGCCAAAATATGTACATATTTACCACTTTTATATTATTTAATATAAATCTGTGTAATTTAAGAGACATTAGAGACATTTTTAAATACATTTTACTCGGAGGACCTGATCGCGTAAGTTATCTCAAATTTCACCTAGATTCTCTCCTATTATGTTATAGAACGAAATCATTTCGATCATATATTTTCCACTTATTATATCGCATATCTTTTTTTTTTAGGTCAAATTTGAGTACTCGTTTTGGGGTCTTGTCTTTTTTTTTTATTCTAAACGGATTTTTCTCGAGGGATCGACAATCCGATTTCTCGAGAAAATCGACGGGCAATACGGTTGTAGTACATCTTATTTATTTTTATTTTTATTTTTATTATATCTCATCCATAATACGACCATTTTTTTAATCCGCGTGATAAAAAGTAAATTATTATATTATATCTTCTTTCCAATCACCGGATTCGTTACTTAATTCTGCCGTTCTTTAACGATTGTAAATAATTTATGGTATAAATGATAAATATTATTACGAGAAAGAATTTCATCCGATTTTGTACGCAATTTGCAATATCTATCGAATAAACTAATTTATAACATATTACACAAAATATCGTCGATTCCTTCTTCTTCGACCTCCTCCAATAAAAACAACTTCCATTTTTATCCTCGTCCCATTGAATTCTGAGAGAATAAATTTCCCCAAATTTCTCGAAGCTTCTTATTAAGAAAAAGAAAAAGATGGAGTATTGCCAAAATAAAAGTTATTCGATGTCTTCTTACAATGCCGCTTCTTCTTAATAACCGGCATTCAAAGACATTCCATTCGTTGGAACGTGAGATCGATTAAAAGGGGAGAAATTTGCCTGCGCGAAACTTGGAACTCGGATAGTTCGCAACATTTTCCACGAGGGGTGAGTTCCTTCGCAGTTTTCACGATTTTATATTCACGATAATTTTAAATCGAGCATAAATAAATATTGAATGAGAGTCACTATTCGAACGCAAAGGGTTTAATCCTTTGCACTCCAGGTCTGTTTCGTTCGAAGCAGCAACTCGAATCACATGTTCAGTGCATTCGGTGGAATTTCTTAGAGCTAATTTATAATGATTTCGCACACAAATTAACGCATAAAACTTTTAATATTTTATGTATCTTTATATATAAAGAAACGAAATTTATCGAATATTAAAATCTATATTGTTTTGTGTGATATTTTATGAAGCAATTATCGAGATGCATCCTCGGTTTGTCGGGGCAAGTAGAGTACTTTTCCTTCTAACTTTTTTATCGTATAATTATTTGTTTCTCACTATTTCATTAATAAGTTCATCGGTAAAAAATAGTTTAAAAAAATCTAATGGTTCATTTATATTCGAAGATACTCGCGGTCCTACAAATTTTTCACCTGGCACAAATCGTATTCTTCGCGATATATTTTCCGATTCTATGCGTGTTATCCATCTGGAATTTTCCGTGTTTTTCGCGATATCTTCACTTGATTGCTTTCGCATTCGCTATCCATTATTCTTATTTTTCCCCCTCTTATACCTCTTATTTCATCTCTGTGTTCATCACCGCTTTCTCTATCGTTAATTTCTTTACGAATAAAAGTAATTTTGTCATTCTATAACGAAAAATCAAACTCATCTTCGCTTCAACTAATTTCATTACCGTACTCCACGCCTACAAATCTCAAAAACTTTGAAAATAATATTTCTATTCCCACGGCTGTCGAACTCGGACTAATACCGAAGATGTCGTTCGACTCACGATCACGGTGAGATAAAAAAACGATAATTTGAGATAAAAAAAGAGATATCTGAAAACAGATATCTTTCGGTACTGTTAATCGCAAATACCGATCAGAGATATTATTTAAGAAGATAGATGGAGTAGAAACTTTAGGACAAACAACACGTACCTTAAGATTCTTCGTGGTCACTGCGCAAAATTCTCGATATCAATAATTAATCCCTTCGAGCTCGACATTTCTCTTTTTTTTTTAATCAATCTCTCGAAAGTCCAAGTCCTGTACACGTCTCGAAGGGAGGATGGACGAAGTTTTTTTCATTTTCCGCTTTTTCTTTCGTCGTCGATGAATCGAAACGAATGTTCGAATTACAGGTGTCGTTTCGAGTTGTTCTCGAAACGAAAGAAAACTTGCAGATTACGGTTATTAAAAGTTTGAACGGGGGAAAATAGTTTTCGGATTGCGGGAATGCGTAATGAGCGGAACGAAAGGGGTGCGCGGAGGATTCGTTCGTGGCCAATCAGTTGGCGTCGAAGCGTGGCGAATAATCGAGATATCCTTCCGTGATAATATTTACAAAGTTTCAAAAGCGATTTGAAAATCGAAACTTTATACCAAACTCGGCGAAATTTTCGTGAAATTTTCTCGAGAGAATATGGTTAGCTGTTTTTGACCGATATATATCGATATATTTAGAAGAAATTGTTGAAACTGGAGGAAGGGAGAATGGACTTCGCGATGGGATGGAACCGTTTCAATCTGACGTTGCTAGGCGTGTATCCAGAACCGAGGAAAATGTCGAGGAACTCGCGATTGATGTCGAATCTGATATTCTGCTTCACGACTCTCGTAACGTTTACCTTCATCTGCGCCCCCCAAACGGCGAATCTGATACTGAAATCGACGTCTTTGGACGAGGTAATCGAAAATCTGTCGATCAATATACCGATCGTCTTTGCACTGATCAAGCAGATCGTTTTGAGATATTATAAAAAAGGTGAGTGTTAATCTTTTCCATCCGACAATCAATATTCGTTCATTTCTCAAATTTAATTTTTTATACAATTTTCCCGCTATTCGAAGTTAAGACTCAATCACTACGATCGAATTAACAAACAAATTTCTCTAATATATAATTTAGAATGAAAATATACCGCTATGCTATTTAATGATTCGATAATTTGATTAAATTTTTTAATTTTTTATTTTCTAATTAATTCCTCAAAATTATAAATATTATAAAAATTATTTATAAATTAAGTTTAACCTGTTTTCTGCACACGCAATTGAACAATTTAAATAGTTTTACAATGTTTAACCAGAAATATCTTGGATATATCCAAGCAAACTTTTGTTTTTCTCTAATTAAAATAAAAATGTACAATATTTAATAATTCAATATTTGATAATTTGATTAAATTTTTTAATTTTCTATTTTCTAACTTTTTAATTAATTTTTCAAAATTATAAATATTATAAAAATTATTTATAAATTAAGTTTAATCCGCTGTTGCGCAATTGAATAATTTTAACAATGTTTAATCAGAAATATCTTGAATATATCCAAGCAAACTTTTGTTTTTCTCTAATTAGAATAAAAATGTACAATATTTAATGATTTAATAATTCAACATTCGATAATTTGATTAAATTTTTTAATTTTCTATCTTTTTAATTAATTCTTTAAAATTATAAATATTATAAAAATTATTTATAAATTAAGTTTAATCCGTTATTGGAAGCGAAATTGAACAATTTTACAATGTTTAACCAGAAATATCCAAGCAAATTTTTTTTCTTTAATTAGAATAAAATACCATATTTAATGATTTAATAATTCAACATTCGATAATTTAATTAAATTTTTTAATTTTCTATTTTCTAATTTTTTAATTAATTCTTCACAATTACAAATATTATAAAAATTATTTATAAATTAAGTTTAACCTGTTTTCTGACACGCAATTGAACAATTTAAATAGTTTTACAATGTTTAACCAGAAATATCTTGGATATATCCAAGCAAACTTTTGTTTTTCTCTAATTAAAATAAAAATGTACAATATTTAATAATTCAATATTTGATAATTTGATTAAATTTTTTAATTTTCTATTTTCTAACTTTTTAATTAATTTTTCAAAATTATAAATATTATAAAAATTATTTATAAATTAAGTTTAATCCGCTGTTGCCCAATTGAATAATTTTAACAATGTTTAATCAGAAATATCTTGGATATATCCAAGCAAACTTTTGTTTTTCTCTAATTAGAATAAAAATATACAATATTTAATAATTCAACATTCGATAATTTGATTAAATTTTTTAATTTTCTATTTTCTAACTTTTTAATTAATTTTTTAAAATTACAAATATTATAAAAATTATTTATAAAATAAATTTAATCTGCTATTGAACGCATATTTGAACAGTTTTAGAACATTCAATTAAAAATATCTTGAATTTGTTTCTCTCTAATTACAATAAAAATATATCGCCATACTATTTATTTAATGATTCAACATTCGATAATTTAATTAAATTTTTTAATTTTCTATTTTCTAACTTTTTAATTAATTCTTCAAAATTACAAATATTATAAAAATTATTTATAAAATAAATTTAATCTGCTATTGAACGTATATTTGAACAGTTTTAGAACATTCAATTAAAAATATCTTGAATTTGAACGCGTCTCTCTAATTACAATAAAAATATCGCCATACTATTTATTTAATAATTCAAAATTCGATAATTTGATTTAAATTTTTTAATTTTCTATTTTCTAATTTTTTAATTAATTCTTTAAAATTACAAATATTATAAAAATTATTTATAAAATAAATTTAATCTGCTATTGAACGCATATTTGAACAGTTTTAAAACATTCAATTAAAAATATCTTGAATTTGAACGCGTCTCTCTAATTACAATAAAAATATATCGCCATACTATTTATTTAATGATTCAACATTCGATAATTTGATTTAAATTTTTTAATTTTCTATTTTCTAATTTTTTAATTAATTCTTCAAAATTACAAATATTATAAAAATTATTTCTAAGTTAAGTTTAACCATCAATCGAACAATTTTAACAAAGTTTAACCAAAAACATCTTGGATATAAAACTTTTGTTTAGCTCTTACCCAGCTGCTCGGCGAAATGTTGGCCGATTGGAGCGAGCCGATCGGCGACCAAGATCGGGAAACGATGCTGAGGAACGCGAGAATCGGTCGAGCTATATCGATCGTCTGCTCCACCCTCACGTATTTCATGCTCTTCGCCTTCGTCTCCCTTCAGATTTGGAGTAACGCGGAGAACGCGTCGGAAGCGGATCTTGGGGGGTTGCTCCACCCTGCCACCTTCCCTTACGAGACGAGCAGAAGCCCCAATTTCGAGATCACCTGGCTGGGACAGTTGATGGGCACCGTTCTAACCGCGATATGCTATTCCTGCTTCGACACGTTCCTTGCGGTTCTCGTGTTACACTTGTGCGGCCAATTAACCGTTCTTGGAACAGCTCTCGAGGACCTGGTCAACGCCACGAGGAGGAACGATTATAAAACGTTCGAGGAACGTCTCAGTTCCATCGTGAACAGGCACAACCATCTGTCGAGGTGCTAATATTACTTGTTATTAATATTAATATTATTAATAATAATAAATAAATTATTGATAATAATAATAATAAAAAAATTATTAATAATAATAATAAAATATAATAATATTAATATTATTAATATTACTTGTTGCTAATATTACTTATTATCTCGTAGACGCGTAATTGTGATTTTGTTTACAGTTTCAAAATTATATTGAAAAATTTATTATTATTAAAATTAAGAGTTACCAAGTGGAAGCTCGATAATTGCGCGAAACGATAATGGATGAGACGAAGGATCGTGCAAAAATCGAGATTCCACAATTTTCAGCGAAAATTTCTGAATCTTGTAACAATAATAAGATTCGAGATCTTAATAAGATTCGATTAATAAGATTCGAGATCGGCGATTAACAATTCGAAAGATTGCTTTTGACCGAATCGAAGTTGTTTGAAGAGAATCATTCGTTTCGAAGGTTTGCCGTGATAGTGGAGGATTGTTTCAACATCACGTTGCTCGTTCAAACCTTAATCTGCACGGCGATGTTCTGCTTGACCGGATATCGCATGATAACCGTACGCAATTAACTCGATATTATAACTTTTCGATTCGAATTTTTCCTACATTAATTAAGGCTTCCCCTCCAGTCGGTAGATCGAGAGGAGGCGGATGTGCCGATAGTTGGAATGATATTTTTTATCATACACGTGATCTACACCATGCTTCATCTTTTCATCTATTGCTACGTGGGAGAAACTCTTCTAGGACAAGTTGAGTCGATGATAAAATGAGTAATTGTCCAATTAGTATTTTCTTCTTCAAAAAAAATGGGATACTGGTTTTTTTCAGAGCACGGGTATTGGCCGATCGACGTACGATTGCAATTGGTACGATTTACCATCGAGGCACGCCGTTTTATTAGTGATCGTGATACGCCGTGCAAACGTGTCGTTTCAAATAACAGCTGGAAAATTCAGCCCGTTCTCCCTTGAACTTTTCAACGCTGTGAGTCAGAAACAGATTCCTCGTATCTTTGAAATTTTCAAATACGTTCAATCACACGTTCAATTCCGTCAGGTATTGAAAACATCAGCTGGATATCTTTCCGTGTTATTGGCCATGAAAGATAGGCCGGTCGAAGAGAAATGACACGAAGGGATGATCGAAAAATGATTTTATCTCTATAATTAAAAAACGCAGCACTCTGATTATACGAATAAACGTTTTGATATGTATTGAAATAATATGATTCGTATATCCTGATTAAAAAAAAAAGAAAAAAAAAAGAAATGTTACTCACATTTTGTAAGAAATAACAATGTCTTTAAAGGATCCCTTCTTCGTTTGATCGATTCATCGTCTTCGATCTGTCGTTTTAGATCTTTACTGCAAAAAAGAAAAAAAAAGAGAAAAAAGTGTAACATTTAAAATTATATAATACAGAGTATATGTATACGTTTTATTAATATGAATAGGTGAAAGGTTACCTACTTTTCTTATTTCGAATCACTTAAAGCTTAAAAAAAAAAAAAATTGATATTATTGTATTCATCTTTTACATCGTCTTTTTTCCTTTCTTTCTATTTTTAAAAAAAAAAAAATTAATATCACTAACTTGAAAAGTAATTTTATCGAAATATTTTACGTTCGATCATTTCTATCGAATGAAAGTTCGTTCGAAAGATAAGAGAAAAACGATATGGACTAAGAAAGTTGAAAAAAAATACGAGCAATGCTCTTATTTCTTCTTTTTTTTTTTTATTATTCCTTCGTACAAGGTTATGAATAATTACGAATATTTGCAACGATCAAACGTGTTATAACGATAAATTCGATTTAAGCGTGCAGTTGGAAACTAGATATTCATGAATAATTGATGTCCCGATGCATTTTCTGAACGCGAGAAGGGGATATGCGCTAAGAAACACGACGACAGAGTACCTTTTGAATATGAGAGCAGAATATGATTCACTTACGGGAAAAAACTTCAATGAATATTCAAAAAGGTAACTTTTCATATTAATTGAATAGCTAAATATTGAGAAAAAAAAGAAAAAGAAAAATTGTAATTTTCTGTCATACGAAAAAATTTTTTTTCATTTTACCACGTATTTTATAATCTATTCAAAAGTTGAATTCAAAATTTTATTTGTCAAATATTTTACAATTAGATTTAAAGTATTTGTATGGATGGAACTATTACACGATGAAGTTCATCGGTATTTGGCCAGAAGAGAGGAAATGGAACCAAGCGTCGAATTACCTCGTTCTGATACCGTTCCTAATGATATTTTGTTTCATTTGCGCCCCACAAACCATCAATCTCTCGTTAATTTCGAACGATTTTAATCTCGTGATCGAGAATCTGTCAATGGGTAATATTACCATCACGCTTTCCCTTCTAAAGACTATCGCTTTTTGGATCAATGGTAAACGTAAGTATTATATTCACATTATATTTCACGAGTTAATATTCTTGCAAAATTATTATATATATATATAACTTACAAGACGCACTCTATCCACCACTTTTTATTTTATATTCCCTTTCAAGCGTTGAAGTCTCTTCTAAATTGTATGACCAACGATTGGATCAAAGTTACAAGCAAAACTGAACAAGAGACAATGGCGAGGATCGCGAACATCACTAGAAACACTATAATAAGAAGTACAATGATGTGTCACACCGTAGTCGCCTTTTACGTATTTTTACGATACATTTCCATGAAATACAACGAAAACAAATTGCTCTTCCGTGCATATTTCCCTTACGATATCACAGTAAGCCCGAATTACGAGTTGACGATACTCGGCCAATTCGTGGCCGCCCTTTACGCGGCCACTTCGTATACAGCCGTTGATACTTTCGTGGCCATGTTGATTTTGCACGTGTGCGGACAACTGTCGGGTATAAAAAATGAGCTCAGCCGATTACCGACCTATGATAAAAAAGATTTGGAAACGAGATTGAAAGAAATCGTTCAGAGGCACGAGTATGTTAACAGGTTAGTTATTGAAAAAAGTTTTGAGAAAATTTCTTTTCTTTTTTTTTTTCAAATTGTTTAGTAAATTATATTTACGAGAGAAAAATAAGGTTATTGCTGAATCTGAGCTATATATAAGGAGAATAAATGTTATTTTCGTCAAGGTTCGCGGAAACGATAGAAAATTGTTTCAACGTGATGCTTCTGATTCAGGTACTGGGTTGTACCGTGCAATTGTGCTTTCAATGTTTCCAGGCTATTATGGTACGAAGAGAAATATATAATTTGTTACGTTGATACGAGAAGAAAAAAAAGATGAAAGTGACTGGATATCGTAAAATAACATGTTTCTTTTTTTTTTTTTTTTTTTTTTTTTTAAATTCCACTTATAGTCATTTGGCAGTGGAGAAGCGCAAGAATACTTGTATTTCCAATTAATGTTCCTGCTTGTCTATGTATTTTACGTGATGTTGCAATTATACTTGTATTGTTACGTGGGCGAGAGACTTTCAGTCGAGGTACATCGTTTCTAAAGGGAAAAATTAATTAAAAATCGACATTTCCCCGTTTTTTACTTGTTGTAATAATTTACAAAAATTTATTCAACATCGAAAACATATACAGTTTGAATATTCATGGGAAATTTGCGATTCCAGAGCATGGAAATAGCTAACGCCGCGTATAATACCGAATGGTACACTCTACCCCCAAAGATCACAAGAATGCTTATAATTGTCATGTGCCGTGCCAAGTCACCGTTAACTATAACAGCAGGCAGATTTTGTTCCTTCACTCTGCAACTGTTCTCCGAGGTGAGTGTGCGAACGAAACACGTGTACAACGTACATTTGCATCGTTCTCTTATAGCACTTATATTCATTATAATTTAATTTAATTTTGAGAAAAAAAAAATCTTCGCGATAATTATCTCTGTTTTCTGTATTTATTTCCAGGTCTTGAAAACCTCGATGCGTTATCTTTCCGTTCTATACGCGGTAAAAGATAAAATAAAACGTTGAATGGAGAATATTATAAATAATACATTTTTTTTTTTTAATTATTCGTTGATTCGACGATGTTATTAATATTTTAAATAATAAACAGGCAATCCAAACTAATAATACATTAACGGATTTCCTCGAAAAATTAATCTTCTCATTCGAGAAAACTCGAAAATATAATTTTCTTTCTTTCTTTCTTTCTTTTTTATTCTTCTTCTCGACAAACTTTGAGTGAATATTTGAACGTGACTCTCATTTTCGATTGCTTATGGACGAACCGTAGACCATGATCGATGCATATTTGATATCGAACAGTTTACGTATCGTCAATTAAAAACCTACTTTTATCTATTTTATCCATCTATTTTCGTTACAAATATTATTCGTCGCAACATTCGATTCCATTCGTTGAAATTTCTTACCCAACATCAAGAAGGATATATATATATATATATTTTTTTTTTATTTTTAAATAAATATCCGCAAAGATGTCTCGATAAAGTAAAAGTCGCAAAGCTTTCACCATTTATTTCCGTCGATCTTTATGAAAGAAAGTCTGCTTTAACGTTTAGTTAATAAACGTTATTAAACGATTCTCCGTGGAAAAGAATCACAATGGGAGAAAAGAGAGTGACACGAGTGCCACTCTCTGTTTGCTCGATGCACAACAAGATAAGAGTTTACGGTTTGATGGCAAGACAAAATGTCGCCTTATAAAAATTACCGTCCCCATCGAGCTCGATGCCATTTTGATACATTGTGTCGTGGTATGCGCGCTATCCTTCTCTCCATAAAAAATTGCAAAAAAAAAAAGAAAACTTTTTTGCATAATATATTCATAGGGTGGACAATTTGGTTTGAAATATCGCGTAGAATTTTTTTTTTTTTAAATTCTTTAACGAGTTGAATTGATAGTTCAGTTTTGCTTGTAGCAAAAAAGTATTGAAAAAATATTGAAAGAAGAATGTTGAATGCGAGAATTTTGATCGTATTTGGATTGGTGAGTTATGGAGTTTTTGCCAGAAATATGGATGGCAATCGTGAGTATCAATTTCTTAAAGAGACGAGTAACAAGAAACACGGTGGCTCTATGTTGATGGAAATAGCGAAGGAACTTGTGCAAAGATCTTCGACGAGCAGCCAGGTAAGATGATAGAAAGAAATTGATTGAAAGAATATATAAGAAAGTAAATTGGATAAATTGGACAGAAATTATAAGATAAATAAAAGTATAAAGATATTTAATTTAATTAAAACATGATTGTTTCAGGTGTTGAATCTAAATTTATCAAATTTGTTATTGCTTTTGGTATTGAAAGCGGTCGTTTTTGGTGCAGGATATTTAGGAAATCATGGTTACAAAGGGCGTGAATTGGAAGAAGGTCTTTTGTGATAAATTATTATATAGGGATTGAATCAATTTTCAAGTATTGAAATTAACAACTTACTTTCAGAAAACGTAGTATCCGAAGGTGAGGTTACACTGGCATTGGGATATTTAATGGGAGATACTTGTCTATATAGAGCAGCTTGTGAAGAACCTCACGTTGCGAAGGAATATTTAAGAGCTGCAGAAATAATCATCGAAACAATGAAATTGTTGCCACAGTACGTAGTTTAAAGTAATGTTCTTTAAATTAAATTTTCTTTCTTCAACTGATAATCGGTGAATATTTTTAAACACAAAGTGATTTAATTTTTAATAATCGAATATATTTTTAGCGGTTTGTTAATTGAAGGAACGTACGAGAAAACATTGGCAGAAATTCGAAAAGCCATCGAACATGGTGTTACAGATGGCTGTCCGCCTGAATATACTTGCAAAAAGGAGAATATTAAAAATTTCTTGAAAGAAAATAGAAAGTGAAAGTATAGGGATATAAATAATTTTTAATATTTCGAAAGAACCTGTAGTATTATTTGAATATTAATATTTTAATATTATTTGAAAGAAGAATAAAGTGCATAAAGGATTTTTATAATTTAATATTTTATTATAAATTTCATTACCTGTTCTTTTCTTCTAATTTCGAATTTTTTATTTATGCGCCATTTCTATATTCTTTAATGACGTTTTGATGTTCTTCGGTAAATAAAATATACTTTTCCAAAAAAACACATTGATGAAAGATAACGAGGAAAAAAATCTTATCTTAAACGACACGTATATTTAAAATTTTAATAAATAAACAATTATTTTATCTGTTTTTTCCCTTTTAATTCATTTTTCAAAGAAATCATGTGTCATCACTATGAACGTTTGAAAACTACTGAAAGTTTTCGCAATCGCCGTCAGATGTCGGTTCGATAGTTTGATACCTAACCAAACACACGAAGCTGACGATCAAGTTTTGATTTTCGCCTATTCACGCCGTAAAGTGTATAAACAATTTTTGTATTTAAAAGTATTGAAGTACTTGTAATTACGACCGAGTGAAAAATGAGCTCTATAGGCACAGGGGTAAATATTTAAAATATAATTTCGAATAAAATTTCGAAAATATCATTAATTAACGACAACAATAAAAGTTAACCTCTTTATGATTTTCAGTATGACTTGTCTGCTTCTCAATTTTCACCGGACGGACGTGTATTTCAAGTAGAATATGCACAAAAAGCTGTCGAAAATGGAGGGTGAGTGTTTATTTTATTTTTTTATTATTTCTTGATATTTACTTTACTAATTTATCTATTCAATCTTTAAGAATATCGTTATACAAAAAATCTCTAAATTCTTTTACTTCATTTTGTTATCGTCGTTCTATTCATTTCTTTGACAATCATATTTATATACTTTTTGTATTTATAGAACAGTTATAGGATTAAGAGGAAAGGATGGCATTGTATTTGCAGTAGAAAAAATAGTTACTTCGAAGCTGTATGAAGCTGGAACAAATAAAAGAATATTTAATATAGACCAACACGTTGGTATGGCAGTATCTGGTTTGATTTCCGATGCTAGACAAATTGTAGAAATCGCTAGATCCGAAGCATCTAGCTATAAATCCCAATATGGGATTGGTATCCCTTTAAAGTATTTAAACGAAAGAGTTTCCATGTATATGCACGCTTATACATTGTATTCGGCAGTTAGGCCTTATGGTTGTTCCGTAATTCTTGGTGCTTATGAACACGACGGTCCAGCTATGTATATGATAGATCCTTCTGGTGTTTCATACGGATATTATGGTTGCGCTGTTGGTGAGTAATTTAATTTATACGTTTAAATAATTAATCTTTCTCCATTTTTTTAATATAATCTATTACTTAAAAATATTGTTTCATAGGCAAAGCGAAACAGTCCGCAAAAACGGAAATAGAAAAATTAAAGTTATCCGAAATGACTTGTAATGAATTGGTAAAAGAAGCTGCGCGTATAATTTATTTAGTTCACGACGAATTGAAAGACAAGCAGTTTGAACTTGAAATGAGTTGGGTTGGTAAGCATACCAATGGAAAACACGAACGTATACCAGCGAATATAAAAACTGAAGCCGAGGCAAAAGCGAAGCAAGCAATGGCAGAAGATTCAGACAGTGATACAGAAGACATGTAAATTGATTCGAATAGTAAACTAAACATACTTTTTATATTGTAAGTTATAATTTAAATATATACAAATTGCTATATAAGCAAAATAATTGTCACGACTCGATTAAATAAAAAAAATATTGTCTGTTCTTTATAAAATTGCCAAATTACGTTCTTTCTTTTTTTTTCACCACAATCTTTTTGTTTTTCTCGTTTCGTAATTTTGTCTCGTGATTACAAAAAGATATCGTGATCTTTTTTCCAATTATGACGTAACTTTTTAATCTGCTAAAAGAAAAACCTACACTTGGATTGTATCGATGCGATACATCTCTATCATATCGATTTATTTAACGTAAGTTTCCAAGTATTCACAATAATCCACGAATAATGAATATAATCCCCTTTACCGAGATTAATCGGATTTATAAACTTTTCAGCTGGCTGACAAACGATTTCTTTAAAAATTGAAACGCGAAAAACGAAAACTACATAAATCAAATCATAATTTTTTTCATTTTTTTTTTTTTTTTTTTTTTTTCTTTATAGAATAATTTTCAATTTCAAAACACTTATCCAAACAAAACTCGAAGAATCGGTAGTAAAATTATAACAGATAACGTGGCAACGTATCGTCCATTCTTTCACCGCTTTTGCGTAGAAGCCAACGTCGCTTGGCGTGATCAGATTTACACTCCATTATCACTATCCTCAAAAGGGAATATCCTTGAGCCAAGTGGCAAGAGAATAATCGAAAAAGGAATATAGGGAGCAAATTGATCGTCGTCGAAATTAAAAAAGAAAAAAAGGAGACGAAGAAAAAAAATATATTACCACGTGTTGGTTCGTTGATTTCTCGACAATGGAATCACAATCTACTACGCCCTTGGCGTTCTACGATACAGTGGCATGGTCTCTCGCGCATGCTGTTTCTCTCTGTAACGCTTGGTTTTATACGCCGGCAGCTGCGACTAGGCAGAGGAGGAGGCGGCTACCAGTGCGGTCGGAGGAAAGAGGGTAGTTTCATCCGGGCTTTATATAAGGGTAGGTAGACTTTGAAACTTGGCCATACATTTGTTTTTGATTGGCACACGCGAGCCGATTTTCGCTCCTCCGCCCACGAGAAGATAAATAATATAAATAAAAAGAAAAATAAAATACGAAAATTCCTTCGAGTTACGTGTGTGTGTGTGTGTGTGTGTGTGTGCACGCTCGGTGTCAATCGGGGAAAACACGTGGCGTTTCACCCGATTCCCTCTCTTCTCTTTTACCCGTCGAGTTTTCGATTTGCCTCGATATACTTGCCTCGCGAGGTGGCAAGGAAGGGCGAAGGGATAAGAAGGGAGGGAAAGAGAAGGAACGAGAGAAGGAATGTCTTTGAACCGGAGCACAATGGAGCATGTTATTTACGAGGATCAAGTAAGTCCGGTGATGTACATTGGTGCCGCGATCGCGTTGGGATTTATAGGATTCTTCGGGTTCACTGCGAATCTCTTGGTGGCGATCGTGATCGTCAAGGACGCGCAGATACTCTGGACCCCTGTGAACGTGATTCTGTTTAATCTAGTCGTAAGTGATGATGACGGTAATAATACTCTTAATAATAATAATAATTCCTCGCTTGAGTTTTCTGCGAAATTTTCGTTAAAAAATTTTTCCTTTCTTTTTTTGTAATATTTTTTAAATATTAATTAAATATTATTCTTCAAGTGATCGTTTCGTCGTGCGAACTTATTCAACTTAACTTAAACGCGTTTAAGTTTATTTAAGAAATAAATCGAAGATGGAATATTCTGCTCGTGCACAACGCGTATAGGAAATGTTGAGGTTCGTGTATGCGAATAGTTTGTAGATAAGGATCGAAAGGGATGCGCAGTGTTGCGGTTAGAATAGAATGGAAGACGTGTTGCTTCCATTTTACGTACCGTGTAAAAATTCATTGCTTCGCGTTATCGCGTCTTTTTCCTTTGTAAAACAACATGTACAATTTTTTGATCGTTTCTTCTAAAAGTTTAAAAATCAATTAATTTTTTAGGGATACAAAATTCCATTACTATTAATTCGATAAAAAAGATCGATGAGTGAAAATTTAATTTGAATTTGAATTTCAATTGAGCGATTTACGAAAAAATTTTTTACTCATTAAAATTCTGTCTACGGCGAGTATTATTGAAATATTTGCGGAAATAATTTGAAAATCGATATTTTTCTCCCGATGATATTTCTTCTTTTCTTTTAAATGCGATAAATTTGTTAATGAACGTCGATGATTAAATTTCTGTCGAACGATTACAAGTTGAAATTTTAATTCTCATTTCTACGTTATTCAATGTTTAATTAAATATTTTTGTCCCTCATCATTTTTCTACTCTTCAATACGAAACATCTTCATTTACGAAAATCATTTTCAAATTTATTATTTTATCTCGATTAAAATAAATTAGATATCTGTTCGTGTTGAACAAAAAAAAAAAAAAAAAAAATTAGAATTAGAAAATAATCCAATACGTTTTTTTAAAGCATCGATCGAACGAGTGAATATCGCTAATAAAATCGTTATCGATTCAATTTGAATCTTGCGTTTCTTTAATCGAGGAGCGAGATTGAAAATGAATATTAAGGATTTGTCGCGGATGCATGTGCTTGAGAACGTAGGTGTTTATTGAGAAAAGTATAAAGAAAAGGAGGAATTGTCTTTCTCGAGGAGAAGTTTGAAAATTTAACAAAAAAAAAAAAAAAAATTAAAAATTAAAAATTTCTTTCTTCGGATTGAACTTTTAAACTTTAATTTTTAATTTTTAATTTTTCTCAAATTAAAAGAAATTTCGCGCAACTTGTTTTATTTTTCGAATCTTTATCCATCCTCGATTTGATTATAAAATGTATAAATTTCAGGAGTGTTGCTGTTCCTAAATCAAGCCAAATTAAATTCGTGATAATATATTTCGTCTGGATTTGAGTAAGTCTATTTAGACGTTCGAAACTCGTTACGTGATGGCCTGAAAGCATTTACGCTTGCAAAGAGAGTTAATTATTTATCATACAAGCTACGAAAAGCGAAAGAGTCTCAAATACAGGAGGAATATTTAAAATCGTTTCTAAAAATATTCTTTTAAAAGGAATTCACTGCATCCTTTGTGTAGTCGAATCCCATTTGATTCTGTTTAATCTTCTTTACTAATTATACACTTTTCAAAAATCAAGAAATCAACACAGCTCCAAAATCAGAATTCATCTTTGAGTTTCGTGTGTGTTTACCTTTCTCGACAAATTGAATTCCACGAAACAATCTGGGGAAAAAAAAAAAACATGAATATTTAATATTTCCACAAAAAT